CCCGGCTGCGCCGCGGCCTCCGCCCGGCCGGGACCCGCCTGGCTGCCGGGGAGACACAGGGCGCATGCGCACCGCTCCCCCCCCCGGACCGCCTTTGTGTGGGCCGTGCCGCCCCCCCTCAGCCACCACCACCCGGTCCCCCCCCGCCTGCCCGCCGTGGTACGGCCCTGCGCCTGCGCACTGGGCGCCGCCGCCGCCATCCCGCCAGGTGTGGGGTGGGCTGGGCCCGGGCGAGGCCTCCCCTCAGCCACCGTCCCCTCCCCAAACATACAGGGTTTTTTAAGTGGGTGACATCACCTGGCGATGTCATCGGGGGTGAAGTCATTCCGCCTCTGTGGCTTTCCCCCCTCTTGCTGGAGTGAGGCCTGGAGGCCTAGGCCACTGTGGGCCTGCCCTGAGGGGCCGCCTCCCCGGGGTTCCTCAGCCTTAGAATCATAGAATAGAATCATAGAAGCATAGAACCTGATTTTAAATTGGAAGAAAAAAGATTCAGATTAGATCTCAAGAAGAAATTTTTTACTGTGAGGGTGGTGAGACACTGGAACAGGTTGCCCAGGGAAGTTGTGGCTGCCCCATCCCTGGAAGTGTTCAAGGCCAGGCTGGATGGGGCCTTGAGCAACCTGCTCTAGTGGGAGGTGTCCCTGCCCATGGCAGGGGGGCTGGAACTAGATGATCTTTGAGGTCCCTTCCAACCCAAACCATTCTAGGATTCTATGAATCATCTGGGGTGGAAGGGACCTCCAAAGGCCATCTAGTCCAACCCCCCCGCAGTCAGCAGGGACACCCCCAACTAGAGCAGGTTGCCCAGGGCCTTGTCGAGCCTCACCTTGAATATCTCCAGGGATGGGGCCTCAACCACCTTCTTTGGCAACCTGTTCCAGTGCTCCACCACCCTCACGGTAAAGAACTTATTCCTTATGTCTGATCTAAATCTGCTTGTCTCCAGTTTAAAGCCGTTACCCCTTGTTCTGTCATTGACAGCCTTTGGAAACAGGCTCTCCCCAGCCTTCTTGTAGGCCCCCCTCAGGTACTGGAAGGCAGCTACTAGGTCTCCCTGGATCCTTCTCCAGGCTGAACAACCCCAGCTCCCTCAGCCTGTCCTCGTAGCAGAGGTGCTCCAACCCTCCAATCATCTTTGTGGCCCTCCTACTCTTCCTGATGCCCCCCAGGATGCCCTTGGCCTTCTTGGCCACCAGGGCCCATTGCTGGCTCATGGGCATCCTGTTGTCCCCAAGATCTTTCTCCTCAGAGCTGCTCTCCAGCAGGTCACCCCCAACCTGTGCTGGTGCAGGGGTTTATTCCTCCCTGGGTGCAGCTCTGGTGCTTGCCCTGGTTGAATTTCATCACTCGGGGGTTAATCATTCCTTGTGCTTGGACTTTCCAGGTTTCCCGGGTGTGTTTGGCTTCCCAGAGAGGCACAGCTTCGGTCAGGCAGCCTGTGCTGCGGGCTCTGAGTCAGAGGGAGGTATGTAGTCACCAGCTTAACCCTGTAGCTGCTGGACTCTGTGCCCGCAGGCTTTCTCCAGAAATCAGGGAGAAGTCAGCCTGCTCTCAGAGGCACGGGACATGGAGCTTGTTTTACCCCTGTGTTTTTAATTTGGAGGTTTTTCTGAGGCTGCAGAGCTGTGCAGGAGCCCGTTCCGAGCTGCTCACAACCGCAGGCGGACGCTGGTTTCGTTTTCATTGAGCTTTCATTGAGACATTCATCACCAGAGCCCGTCCTTCACGGCCCTGCCGACTCGCAGCGCGTTGCTGAGCAAAAAGGCATTGAGCAACGGCAAAGAACAGCCAGCGACGGTCCATTCAGAGGGTTTGATGACATCCCCTTGGCTCTCCTCCCCCGGCCAGACCTCGATGCCGCAGGGAAGGCAGCAGGTCCCAGAGCAGCCTTTAAACGCACCCTGAACCATGTTTTAAATCAGGAGATGACTCAGCAGAGGCGAGAGTCTATTTTTATCTTCTTCCAAGCTTTCTGTGCCGAGCTGAAATTTTATATTAATCCTTTCAGCTCCAGCCCCAAACCGACATCGCCTTCTAACTGTGAAGCCATTCATAGCTCAGGACCTGCGATGGCCGGGAACCCTTCTGCCAAAAACCTCCCGTGCCAAGGAGGGCACATTTTAGCCACAGTCAGCAAAGCAAATACTGTGCAGAGGAAGCCAAACGGCGGCATCTGACCCCGAGCCTTGTTTTCAAAGGAGCCGCACGGGGCTGTGTTTAAACACCTGAGAAAATCGGCCTTGAACCCGCGGCGCCGGAGACTGTCACATGTTCGGCGATGAAAAGAGCCAAGTGATGAGCTGATCCCTCTCCCGCAGGATCCTACCCCACGAGGAACTTCCTCCTGGAAGCTCAGCCGTGGAAAAAACTGTGACACAAGCTAGAAATTAAAAGTACATATTGGCTGAAGAATGACACCATGTGCTTTGAGGCGTTTGGGGAAGAGATCCAAGGCGTCCTCAGTGTATAACCCCCTAAAGCCAAGTTTTAATTTGCTTCCGTAGCTGCGTGGGGAGGTGTAAGAGCAGCAGCTCGCTCCCTTCCGTGGAGTCTCCGGGTTTCCGTGCGTGGCAGGGGATGAGGCTGGTCCCGTGGGGCAGTGGTTTGGCAGGGGTGGCTCTGCTCTGCGGAGGAGTTGGGCTGCAGGAGAAGGCAGCTGCGGGGCAGCTGCAGGCTTTTTTTGGGAGTTTGTTAACGTCCTAGCGTGGCCCCGCAGAGATTTAACCCGGGATGGGACTCTCCAAGGTTGAGCAGAAAGCTGGGGTTTATGGAATATCAATCATTTCAAACTGTAGATCTGCCCAGCCAGAGGTTTTTTTCTCCCTTTTCAAAGCTGGCAGGTGCCTGGGTTTGGATTCGGAGCCTGGGCTTTGGCTCACAGTCTGCAACACCCTCACCCCTTTCCTGCGTCCCAGAGCTCCTTTTAAGTCCTGCTTCAAGGGGAGGGAAGGGAGGAGGGAAGAGAAAAAGCGTAGATCTTAGCTCAGACTCTACATTTGCTGTTTAAAGTCTCCCTGTGCTTCTAGGAGCGGGGTTGGCAGAGGAAAGGGAAGCGTTTAACCCTTTCCCCTGCCCTGCCTGCACAGAAGCTGCAGCAGGAAAGTTGAAGGGAGAAAGGAGGAGGGAATCCACCCCCTCGCCCTGAGCATCTCTCGTACCCCAAAGATACAGCGGGCGAAGGGAGGGAAGCCAGAAGTCTGAGCATCCCTCAGCCACAGAGGGGAAACTGAGGCACGCAGGGCCAGGCTGGTTTGCCCAGGCTTGCACAAGGAAGGGGCTGTAGCGTGTCAGGGAATCGAGCTCCTTTCTCATGAAGTTCACAGCCTGGACCACGTGCAAGACCTTTCCCCCCCCCTTTTAAAGAGGAACTTGGCATTTTTGAGACAAATCATTTGTTTATCTGGAGGGAGATGGGGCGGGGGTGGGGGGGAAGGTTAAAATTATCGTGTGGCTGCAGTTCCCACCCAGGCACAAAAAACAGACGAGAGGCAAGAAAAAGCTGAATGCTGATATTCCAAAATAATATAAATATATATATATACAGGCACGTACCCCGTCACCTCCCCGGGGTGTGCTGAGGATCACAGTTAAAAGCAAAATGCTCTGGGAGGGGAGATTAGAGCCTCCTTCGACCCCCCAGTCTCTTTTAAAGATGGACGATGAGCAAACTGACACCGTGTGAGACGGGACAGGAGGATTTCACCTTGCCCCCCCAATCTCTTTTAAAGATGGACGATGAGCAAAGCGACGCCGTGTTAGATGGGACAGGAGGATTTCACAGAATCACAGAATCACAGAATCTTCTAGGTTGGAAGGGACCTTAAAGATCATCTTGTCCAACCATCCACCTAACTGACAAAAATAGACACCCACACAACAAACAAGGAGCATCATCACTAAACCAGACCTCCCAGCACCACATCAACCCGTCTTTTGAACACCTCCAGGGATGGGGCCTCAACCACCTCCCTGGGCAGCCCATTCCAAGGGCTGAT